ACAGGTCAAACAAGACTGAGCATTCTAGGTAAATAGAGAAGATAGAATAACAGATGTGTAGAAAAGGGAGACGAATTGTGGAGAAGAATGCTTTGTTTGGGAAGGACGATGCAAGTGCAACGTTTTGTTGGATCCATGACCAAACCCCATATTTTTTAGAAGCCCATGTTTTGCACAGAGCTGGAAGCACATTGGGCTGCCCATTGGAGCGCACGGAGCACCGTCACCTTCTTGCTGAAGCGGTCCCTATTGATCTATTCACACGTATTTATATATTTACGGTATTTATATTCTGCCCTTCTCACCCTGCAGGGGATTCAGGGCGGATTACAATACACATATACATGGCAAACATTCAATGCCATAGACACACAACATATATAGACAGACACACAGAGGCTTTTTAACATTCCAGCTTTTTCATGAGGGTATTCTGGCCACCAGGGGACCTTCCATTAGTGACACTGATGAAGTACTTCCTCATTCTTTGCATGCTTGCTGGAGATTTTTATGGCGTCGTAAATTCATCTCCCAGGAATCCTAACAGCTAGCAAACTGTCTGGGATTTCTGGGAGTTTTAGGCCAAAACACCTAGGAATCCACCAACACTTGCATGTTTTTGAACTGCTAGGTTGGCAGGAGCTGGGGCTAACAGCTGGAGCTCACTCCACTCCCTGGATTTGAACCGCCGACCTTTCAGTCAGCAAGTTCAGCAGCTCAGTGGTTTAACCCACTGCGCCACCATGGCCTCCTATACATTTAGTTATATCAGTTTATATTATGTGTCCGTATCTCCATCAGTAAAACTAGATTACTGTGTCGCGAAATGATGCAAGCCAAAAAAGATGCGTAGCCAACATGAGATGGTTGGAAAACTGTGGTGTAGATGTCCACCAAGCATTTCCCATCAATCGGCTGCTTGGAAATATTACTTGGACACCCAGGGATTGAATATGGATATTATTATTACTACTAGCCATCCCCTGCCACGCATTACTGTGACCCAGTCTGTGTATATGTGTTTTGTGTGTGTATTTATATATTTGTGTATATGTGTATTTATGTGGTTATGCACATGCGTTGTAATGGTTTTTTTGGCTTTTTAAGTCTCTTCCGCAGTGTTTTTCAGTGTTTTTATGAGTGACTGTGGCCAAACCTTCCCTCCCTCTTTATTTCTCTCCTTCCTTCCTTCCCTCCCTCTTTTTCTTTCCCTTTTCTTCCTTCCTTCTCTACCTGTTTCTTTCCTCCCTCCCTCCCTTCCCAATTTCTCTCTTTTGTTCCTTCTCTCCTTCCTTCCCTCCCTCTTTCCTTCCTTCCCTCTTTTTCTTCCTTCCTTCTCTACCTGTTTCTTTCCTCCCTCCCTTTGCTCTTTCCTTCCTTCCTTCCTTCCTTGCTTCCTTCCTTCCTTCTCTCTTTTGTTCCTTCTCTCCTTCCTTCCCTCTTTTTCTTCCTTCCTTCTCTACCTGTTTCTTTCCTCCCTTCCTTTGTTCTTTCTTTCTTTCCTTCCTTCCTTCCTTCCTTCGCTCTTTCTCTCTTTTGTTCCTTCTCTCCTTCCTTCCCTCTCTCTTTCCTTCCTTCTTTCACTTTTTTATTTCCTTCTCTCCTTCCTTCCTTCACTACATTTCTTTCCTTCTCTTCTTCCCTCTTTCTATTCCTCCTTCTCTCCTTCTCTCCTTCCTTCCTTCCTTCCTTCCTTCCTTCCTTCCTTCCTTCCTTCCTTCCTTCCTTCCCTCCCTCCCTCCCTCCCTCCCTCCCTCCCTCCCTCCCTCCCTCCCCCTTTCTGTGCATATGTGTTTTGTGTGTGTATATATGCATGTATGTGTGTTTGTGTATATATATGGTTTTGCACATGCATTGTAATGGAGGGTTTTTTGCTTTTAAGTCTCTTCTGCTATGTTTTTCGATGTTTTTATGAGTGATGGACACTCGTTGGCCTGAGAGGTGTCTTGTGTCCAAATTTGGTGTCAATTCATTCTGTGGTTTTTGAGTTATGTTAATCCCACAAACGAACATTACATTTTTATTTATATAGATTTGCATAGGAGGTGAGTGCTTCACGACTGAGTTACAGCCCTTTCCAAGTCTCCAGAGCTTTTCTAGTCCCGGACTTTGGTGATCAATCTCCTCCTGTTTCCTGCCGCACAAGCCTCACAACCGACTTCTTGGTCTGTGGTCTTAGGAGCAAACAATCTCTAGGGAAACCACCTGGCGGTTGTGCCACACCTTCGGAGATATGTACACACGGCCATAGAAAACAGGCGCCTGAATGATATTAGAATTTCAAGCCAGTTATGGAGGAGGAAACAAACCTATTTGCCTATTGCAGCCAAAGCCAGAAAGTGTATTGTAACACTCGAAAGAATATGGATGAATCTACATTGTAAAATTAATGCAGTTTGATACCACTTTAACTGTGGCTATAGAATCCTGAGAGTTGTAGTGTTGTGCCTCCCCAGACTGCAACTCCTATCAGGTCAATGAGTGACCATCACTGAAAAACACAGTGGAAGGGACTTAAAAAGCTCAAAAAAGCAAAAAGACGCTACAGCGCATGTGCAAAATGACTCCCCATGGCAAAAAACACACACTTTAGCATATCCACACTCTCTTTTGGACTACAGCTCCCAGCATCCCCTAGACCAGGCCCTTTAGGAGAGGAGGATGATCCAAATGCACTGCTTCCAAGATGCAAGCTTTCTTCTCCTTGGATCTCTTTGAGAGCATCCCAATCCCTGCATATTTCCAATTTCCTATTCCTGGACTGCAACTCCCAGCAATTCTCCAGATAGATAAGACAGATAGATTAGATAGATGGGAGTTGTAGACCAAGAATAGATAGAGAAGGAAGAAGGGGAGAAAGGAGGGGAAAGAAAAGGGGAGAAGGAAAGAAGAGAAGAGAAGAGAAGAGAAGAGAAGAAAGAGGAAGGAAGGAGGGGAAGAGGGAAGAAAAGGGAAGGAAGGAAAGAAGGAAGGGGGGGAAAAAGGAAGAGAAAAGGGGAAGGAAAAAAGAGGAAGGAAAGAAGAGAAGAAAGGAGAGGGCAGGAGGGAAGGAAGAAAGGAAAAGAAGAAAGGAAGGAGAGAGGGGTAGCAAAAAGGGAAGGAAGGAGAGAAAGGGGAAGGGAAAGAAAAGAGGAGAAGGGAAGGAAAGGAAGGAAGGAGAGAGAGGGGAAAGAAAAATGGAATGAAAGAAAGAGGGAAGGAAGGAAGGAAGGAAGGAGAGAAAGGGGAAGGGAAAGAAAAGAAGAGAAAGAAAGGAAAAGAAGAAAGGAAGGAGAGAGGGGTAGCAAAAAGGGAAGGAAGGAGAGAAAGGGGAAGGGAAAGAAAAGAGGAGAAGGGAAGGAAAGGAAGGAAGGAGAGAGAGGGGAAAGAAAAATGGAATGAAAGAAAGAGGGAAGGAAGGAAGGAAGGAGAGAAAGGGGAAGGGAAAGAAAAGAGGAGAAGGAAAGGAAGGAAGGAAGGAAGGAAGGAGAAAGGGAAAGAAAAAAGGGAACGAAAGAAAGAAGGAAGGAGGGAGAGAAAGGAAGAAAAAGAAAGAGGAGAAGAGAGAAAGGAAGGGAAAGAAAAGAATAGAACTAAAGTAAAAGAAGTAGGAATTATATGAGGTTTAGCAAGAAGTTAGGAAGGAGAGAAAGGGGAAGGTAAAGAAAAGGAGGAATGCAGGAAAGACGTAGAGAAGGAAGATTAATCAGACAAAAATTAAAAATGTAATTAAATAAATATTTAATTAAGGAACTACATGCAGTTGCTTTAAAAAAAGGATTAGGAAATGTCATGAAGAATTACACTGTGGGAAAGGTAAAGAAAAAAGGGAAGGTATGGATTAATTGAGGTTATAGATAGTGTAATTGAAAGGAAAGAGAAGGAAGATGAATACATAATGAATATTAGCGCAATTACTTATTAATTACTTGAAATGTAAGTAATTCATAATAAATTAATGGAGTAATTAATAATTAAGTAATTTAAGTCATTCAATTAATTAATGAATTGTTATATTTTTTTAAAAATTTAATTAACAATTCATATTATGATATGTAATTATATTAATTGTACAATTATATTAATTGTAATTATTAATATTAGTATTAATTATTATAATTATATATTAATGTATTATTTTATATTAATATAATAATAATATATTAATAATTATTATAATTATATATTAATGTATTATTCTTTTATATTAATATATTGATAATAATATTAATATAATAATAATATATTAATAATTATAATTATATATTAATGTATTATTCTTTTATATTAATATAATAATATATTGATAATAATTATAATTATATATTAATGTATTATTATTTTATATTAATATAATAATAATAATATATTAATAATTATCATAATTATAATTATATTAATGTATTATTCTTTTATATTAATATATTGATAATAATTATGTAGTAATTAATTATTACTAATCAACAATTTTAATAATAATTAATAATTAATAATTTATTAATAATCAATAATAATCAATAATGTATTAATAATAATTAATAATTAATAATGTATTAATAATAATTGATAATTGATAATGTATTAATAATAATTAATAATTAATAATTTATTAATAATAATTAATAATTAATAATTTGAATTGTTCAGAAGAAATAGCGGTGAGCATCAGTCCTCTGAGCATGTCAAAAGAGTATTTCCACCCAGCGCGTCAAAAAATATTCCCACCATTTCAGAGCAAATCGTGGGGAGGAAATATAACATTAATATAAATTAATTAATATTAATATAATTAATTAATATAATATAATTAATTAATATAATATAATTAATATAATATAATTAATATAATTAATTAATATAATATAATTAATATAATATAATATAATTAATTAATATAATATAATATAATTAATATAATATAATAATTAATTAATATAATATAATTGAACCGGTGCTTGTGTGTACAGCTACTTCTACAATGTAAACACACCCTTTGTCATACAAGTACGTGGCTAACTCACCTGATCAGGTAGCAGCAGAAGAGTAAGCTAAGGATGAAGACGAAGATGGCAGTGCCAAAGACCACAATGTATATGTTCAGAGGCAGGTTCTGGAATCCAATGTTTGGCATCCTGAAACTGTAATGCTGGAAATCTGAGCTCATGGATGGTCTGCAAAGAAACAAGGAAACAAGGGAATTAATTGCGTCCTAAAGTCTTGCGCACACCACGTTTTGATTCAGCAAATCCATTGCTGTTCTATATCAAAATACTGTGAAGAGTTAACCATCATGACCGCCCTGTGAGAAGAAATGACATTTCTAAACAAAATCAGGTTTCAAGCTCAAGGATACATGCAAATGCAAAATAAAAAAAAAAATACTAAGAAGCATTTCAAAAACAAGGAAAAACAATGAGAAGGCAAGCTTTTGATGCAGGAGGGGTGAAATATAAAGTGCTGCATAAGAATTTGACCTAATTGAAATGTGAGTAGATCAATAGGTACCGCTTCTGCGGGAAGGTAAGGCAGTCATGCTGGCCACATGACCTTGGAGCCGTCTACGGGCAACGCCGGCTCTTCGGCTTAGAAATGGAGATGAGCACCAAACCCCAGAGTTGGACACGACTGGACTTAATGTCAGGGGAAAGCTTTACCTAACCTTAAAGGTTTGAATTCCCACAAGTCACACTCTCTCAGCCTCACAAAAAGTCACAGAATCCTAGAGTTGGAAGAGTCCTCGTGGGCCATCCAGTCCAACCCCATTCTGCCAAGAAGCAGGAATATTGCATTCAAAACACCCAACAGATGGCAATCCAGCCTCTGTGTCAAAACCTCCAAAGAAGGACTCTCCACCACACTACGGGGCAGAGAGTTCCACTGCTGAACAGCTCTCTCACACAGTCAGGAAGTTCTTCCTAATGTTCACGTTGAATCTCCTTTCCTGTCGTTTGAAGCCATTGTTCCACATCCAAGTCTCCAGGGCAGAGTTTGGGGGAAATAGACCTTGACATTTGGGAGTTGTAGTTACTGGGATTTATAGTTCACCTACAATCAAAGAGCATTCCGAACTCCACCAATGATGGAATTGAACCAAACACGGCACACAGGACTCCCATGACTAACAGAAAATACTAGAAGGGTTTGGTGGGCATTGACCTTAACTTTTGGAATTGTAGTTCACCTACATCCAAAGACCACTGTGGACTCAAACAATGACGGATGTCAACCAAACTTGGCACGAATACTCAGTATGCCCAACTAGGAACACAGATGGAATTTGGGGGAAGATAGACCTTGACTTTTAGGAATTGTAGTTACTGGGATTTATAGTTCACCTACAATCAAAGAGCATTCTGAACCCCATGAACGACAGAATTGGGGCAAACTTCCCACACAGACCCCCATGACCAATAGAAAATGCTTAAGGCCATCCAATCCAACTCCCTTCACCAGGGCAAGAAAACGTAATCAAAGCCCTCCTGACAGAGAGCCATCCAGCCATCGATATAGATAGATACGATTCACACACATAGAGATATAGTATCATAGATTTGAAAGGGACCCCTAAAGAAGGGCAACTATATCTTGCATATTCCAGAGTAGGCAAACCAGACAATCTCCACATCAACACTGACAAAGAAAAAAACAAGAAGTACTGTTTACCCACAAGCATCAAGAAATGACATATATTAGAAACCAACACTTTCTCATTACTTTATTTTCCAGATCACCAGACTGGGCCACAGCAATGCGTGGCAGGGGACGGCTAGTAAATAAATAAGTTCTTCCAAACGTTTAGGTGGAATCTCTTTTCCTGCCTTTTGAATCCATTGCTCCATAACGTACTCCCCAGAGAAGGATTCAACTATGGGCCCAACATGGATGGCGCATAGCTCGAATTGCAGCCAAGCACTGATGGAAACATCTACTTTGCATGTGGGTAAGACATTTGCTTTGCATATGGAAAGAGCCGGAGTTGGGGTGTATCTACACCGCAGAGTTAAGGCAGTTTGACGCCACTTGAACTGCTATGGCTCAATGCTGTGGAACTTGTTGAGGCAACAGCACTCTTTGGCATGGAAAGCTAAAATTGTGCCAAATTACAACTCCCAGGATTCCACAGCATTGGGCCATGGAAGTTAAAGTGGTGTCAAACTGCATTAAGTCTACAGTGGAGATGCTCCCTTGGCACCTGGCAGCAGGTCAAAGAGTCAGGTTGCAGGTAATGCGGAAGACTCTTCCTTGACAAAGGACTTGGAAAAATACTTGGCACAAATACTTAATGTGCCCACATGTGAACAATGGTGGAGTTTGTGGAAAATAGTTATTGGCATTTGGGAGTTGTAGTTGCTGGGATTTATAGTTCACCTACAATCAAAAAGCATTTTGAACTCCACCAATGATGGAATTGAACCAAATTGTGTGCCCAGAACTCCCATGACCAACATAAAATACTGGAAAGGTTTGGTGGGCATTGACCTTGAGTTTGGGAGTTGTAGTTCACCTCCATCCAGAGAGCACTGTGGACTCAAACAATGATGGATCTGGACCAAACTTAGCATGAATAATCAGTATGCCCAAATCAGAACACAGATGGAGTTTGTGGAAAATAGACCTTGGAATTTGGGAGTTGTAGTTGCTGGGATTTATAGTTCACCTACTATCAAAGAGCATTCTGAACTCCATTAATGATGAAATTGAACCAGACTTGGCACATAGAATTCCCATAACCAACAGAAAAAACTGGAAGGGTTTTGACCTTGAGTTTGGGAGTTGTAGTTCATCTACAACCAGAAAGAACTGTAGACTCAAACAATGATGGATCTAGACCAAACTTGGCATGAATACTCAATATGCCCAAATCTGAACAGTGGTGGAGTTTGGGGAAAATAGTCCTTGGCATCTGGGAATTGTAGTTGCTGGGATTTATAGTTCACTTACAATCAAAGAGCATTCTGAACTCTACTAATGATGAAATTGAACCAGACTTGGCACACAGAATTCCCACAACCAACAGAAAAAACTGGAAGAGTTTGGTAAGCATTGACCTTGAGTTTGGGAGTTGTAGTTCACCTACATCCAGAAAGAACTGTGGACTCAAACAATGATGGATCTGGACCAAACTTGGCACAAATACTCAATACGCCCAAATCTGAACACTGGTGGAATTTGGGGAAAATAGTCATTGGCATTTGGGAGGTGTAGTTGCTGGGATATATAGTTCACCTACAACCAAAGAGCATTCTGAACTCCACTAACAATGAATTGGGCCACACTTCCCACACAGAACCCCGTGACCAACAGAAAGTGCAGATGGTTGTTGGCGACCCCTTTGAAAGCCCCTCGAAACTTCCCCAAGGGTCTCGACACCCCAGGTTAAGCAACGCTGTCCTACAGGTATCTGCCCCACCTTTGCTATCATAAGCAATAATAATAATAATAATAATAATATTTATTTAATCGCTTTGACTCCCGCTTTGCAACTCCCCCAGGGGTCCCGACCCCCAAGTTGAGAAATGCTGTCCTATAGGTATCTGCCCCACCTTTGCTATCATAAGCAATAATAATAATAATATTTATTTAATCCCTTTGACACCCCCTTTCGCAACTCCCCCAGGGGTCCCGACCCTCCAAGTTGAGAAATGCTGTCCTATAGGTATCTGCCCCACCTTTGCTATCATAAGCAATAATAATAATAATAATAATAATAATAATAATAATAATAATAATATTTATTTAATCCCTTTGACCCCCCCTTCGCAACTCCCCCAGGGGTCCCGACCCCCAAGTTGAGAAATGCTGTCCTATAGGTATCTGCCCCACCTTTGCTATCGTAAGCAATAATAATAATAATAATAATAATAATATTTATTTAATCACTTTGACCCCCCCTTCGCAACTCCCCCCAGGGGTCCCGACCCCCAAGTTGAGAAATGCTGTCCTATAGGTATCTGCCCCACCTTTGCTATCATAAACAATAATAATAATAATTATTATTATTATTATTTATACCCCGCCACCATCTCCCCAGTGGGGACTCGGAGCGGCTCACGTGGGGTCAAGCCCTGACAACACATTACAGCAATAAAATCAAAGCATAAACAACAAACAACAACAACAACCCCTTTCCTCTCTTCCTGAACCCAATACATTCCCAATTTCAAAATGAGAGTATGGTTGGACATATCAAGGATGGCAGGATGGATCAAGAGTACTACCTGGAATCCAGGTAAGCCAAAGTACAACCAAAGTGCAAACAAAACAAAGCAGAGGAACAAAAACTACAACAGCTCTGAAATATCTTCTTTGCTCTAAAATCTTTCCTTTCCTACACATTCAAGCAAGTCCTTTTTGCAGGAAAATCGAGGAGGCGGTAGGAAAGAGGCGCAAATAAAACCACGACTGCACCATTAGACTTACATGCTGTGCGGCATCGTGATGATGGGAAGGAAGGCGGAAAGCACGAACATAGGTTTTCGTATTGTTCTAGGAGGGGGAAAATGCTCTTCTTCTTCCAGGCAGCTTTGGGCAAATTATAAGAATGTCCTTTTGGCAGCCGCGAAGCGACAGACGCTCATCCGGCAGAAATTCCCTCTTGGGAAACAACACACACAAAAAAGGAAAATAAAATGCCAAGCTGCAATTGCTGAGCTCGGTCTGGCCACCCTCCAAAACCGCTGGAGTCTGGGAACCGATTCCTCTCTCGGTTTGGCTGGAATGAATGATCCTATAGGCACGGGCACAGGCTTTCTCCTTTTGTTTCCAGGCGTGGTTTTGGATTTGCACAAGGGAGGGGAAGGAGGAGATTTCCACTCACCGTCTGATACAGCCAGAGGAAAATTACAAGCGTCATAAAAGTGAGCTTTTACAGCCGTGGCGCTCCCGTATGGGGTGTCCAGCTGTTTGGCAGATTGCAAGCAGCATTTCTGGCTTCCCCTTAGAATCGCACAATTGGAAGAGACCCCCAAAGGTCATCCAAACCAACCTTAGTCTGCCAACAGACACAATCAAAGCACTCATGAGAGATGCCCATTGAAAACCACCCAGAGACTCCATTACACTTCCAAGCAGCATATTCCACCATCTAAAAACTCTTTACATCAAGTTCTTCCAACAAAGGATTCACCCAGGCAGCAACTAGCCAGGCTTTCAAACTGCAAGGCCATTCAATGCTAATCAAGGTGGTCAATTGCAATCCAGAGACTCCATTACATTTCTAAGCAGCATATCATTACATTTCTAAGCAGCATATTCCACTATCTAAAAACTCTTTCCATCAAGTTCTTCCAACAAAGGATTCTCCCAGGCAGCAACTAACCAGGCTTCCAAACTGCAAGGTCATTCAATGCTAATCAAGGTGGTCAATTGCATTTCAATGCTAATCAAGGTGGTCAATTGCAATCCAGAGACTCCATTACATTTCTAAGCAGCATATTTCACCATCTAAAAACTTTTTCCATCAAGGAGTTCTTCCAACAAAGGATTCCCCCAGGCAGCAGCCAGCCATGCTTCCAAACTGCAAGGCCATTCAATGCTAATCAAGGGGGTCAATTGCAATCCAGAGACTCCATTACATTTCTATTCCAGTGGAATATGCTATTTAGATAGCATATTCCACTATCTAAAACCTCTTCCCACCAAGAAGCTCTTGCAACAAAGGATTCCCCCATGCAGCAACCAGCCAGGCTTCCAAACTGCAAGGCTATTCAATGCTAATCAAGGTGGTCAATTGCAATCCAGAGACTCCATTGCATTTCTAAGCAGCATATTCCACCATCTAAAAACTCTTCCCATCACGGAGTTCTTCCAACAAAGGATTCCTCCAGGCAGCAACCAGCCAGGATTTGAAACTGCAAGCCCATTCAATGCTAATCAAAGTGGTCAATTGCAATCCAGAGACTCCATTGCATTTCTAAGCAGCATATTCCACCATCTAAAAACTCTTTCCATCAAGGAGTTCTTCCAACAAAGGATTCCCCCATGCAGTATCCAGCCAGGCTTTCAAACTGCAAGGGCATTCAATGTTAATCAAGGTGCTCAATTGCAATCCAGAGACTCGATTACATTTCTAAGCAGCATATTCCACCATCTAAAAACTCTTTCCATCAAGGAGTTCTTCCAACAAAGGATTCCCCCAGGCAGCAACCAGCCAGGCTTTCAAACTGCAAGGCCATTCAATGCTAATAAAGGTGGTCAACTGCAACGGACCAGGCAAGTGGGGTTTATATATCTGTGGAAAAATGTCCAGGGTGGGAGAAAGAACTCTTGTCTGCCTGAAAGGCAGTATGAAAGGAGAAAACCACAAAAATGAACAAAATCTGGCTACCAGTATTTGAAAAAAACTCTAAAATCAAGACATAAATAAAGAGGGACACTCAGAAAACACGGGAATTCCAAACAGGAAACAATCATGGCCAGGTAACATCTCCCAACAAAGGATTACCCCAGGCAGGAAGCAGCCAGGCTTTGAAACTGCAATCCCATTCAATGCTAATCAAGGTGGTCAATTGCAACATTTGCACCTGCCTCAAGCAGACAAAAGTTCTTTCTCCCACTCTGGAAATTATTCCACAGGTATATATACCTTCCACTCGCCTTGTTTCCAACAGACCTCACAACCTCTGAGGATGCCTGAAATAGATGTGGACGAAACGTCAGGAGAGAATGCTTCTGGAACATGGCCAGACAGCCCGGAAAATGCACAGCAACTCAATGATTCCGGTCACGAAAGCCTTCGACAAGACAGTTCTTCTGAATGTTCAAGTGGAATCTCTTTTCATGGAATTTGTACTTTGTCTTGTGTCTTTGGAGCTGCAGAGAGCAACCTTGCTCTATCTTCAATATGACTTCCTTGTAAATATTTAAACACAATGCCTTTTAACCTTGAAGATAAACATAACCAAGCTCCATAACCTATTTCTCAATGGGATTCATGATTTCCAGGCCTTCGACTATCTTGGTCACCCTTCTTTGGACACTTTCTAACTTGTCTATCTCCTTCTTGAATTGTGATGCCCAGATGTTGGGGGACTCCTGCGCAAGGGGCTGTCAGAGGGGTCGCCAAAGACCATCAGAAAACATAGTATTTTCTGTTGGTCCTGGGGGTTCTGTGTGGAAAGTTTGGTCCAATTCTATCGTTGGTGGGGTTCAGAATGCTATTTCATTGTGGGTGAACTATAAATCCCAACAACCACAATTCCCAAATGGCAAGGTCTATTTTCTCCAAACTCCACCAGTGTTCACATTTGGGCATATTGAGTATTTGTGCCAAGTTTGAGCCAGATCCCTCATTGCTTGAGTCCGCAGTGTTCTCTGGATGTAGGTGAACTACAACTCCAAAAACTCAATGTCAATGTCCACCAGACCTTCCCAGTATTTTCTCTTGGTCATGGGAATTCTGTGTGCCATGTTTGATTCAATTCCATCATTCATGGAGTTCAGAAGACTCTTTGATTTTAGGTGAACTATAAATCCCAGCAACTCCAGCATTACCAAATGACAAAATCAATCAGCCCCAACCCCACCAGTATTAAAATTTGGGGCGTATCGGGTATTTGTGCGAAATTTGGTCCAGTGACTGAAAATACATCCTGCATATCAGATATTTACATTACAATTCATAGCAGTAGCAAAATTAGTTATGAAGTAGCAACGAAAATAACGTTATGGTTGGGGGTCACCACAACATGAGGACCTGTACTAAGGGGTCGTGACATTACGAAGGTTGAGAACCACTGGTTTAGCTGGTATTGCACCACCTGACATCCACCGGGGAGTAGCAGCCAATAATGAAAGGACCAAGGCAGAGACATCTCCACCTCATCCCTTGTTTGGGTATCAGCCAGCACGTCAATAACTTAAATCAAGAAATAGTTTTCTAAGATCTACAGAGACACTTGCTGGAAAACCTCAGCAAGCGAGAGTCCAAAAGTGGCAGGCTCAAACCCAGAACCTCAATCAGTGGCTGATACCAAATGAGAGACTCCCCCCTGGGCACACAGAAGACTGGGCGACTTGGAAGGCGCTGAACAGACTGCGCTCTGGCACCACGAGATGCAGAGCGAACCTTAAGAAATGGGGCCACAAAGTGGAATCCACGACATGTTGAGTGTGGAGAAGAGCAAACCACTGACCACCTGCTGCAATGCAACCTGAGCCCTGGCACATGCACAACGGAGGACCTTCTTGCAGCAACACCAGAAGCACTCCAAGTGGCCAGATACTGGTCGAAGGACATTTAATCAACTACCAAGCTTGCAAACTTTGTGTTTTGTTTGTTTGTTCAAAAATGCAATACAACTGTTTGGTTTGCTCCTGACATGATAAATAAATTTGCAACCAGACGACAGGCACAGGTCTGAAGTAGAAAAGGTTGCTAAACTGAAACTGTGGTTCTTTGAGTTGTTGATGGTCTGCATTACAAATGGGGGGAGCATGAACTCCAACACCACGTACCTGGGGGTCTCCGTTTACATTACATGTCCTTTTTTGGCTGCGTAGGTATTGACAAGAATAACAACAATACACATCTAAAAGTTATTTCCTTAACGAGGAACATAGCACTACGTTGGACAAATGGATCGGAAAAAACATTACAGTGTTGTGAGTCATCGCTTGAGAGACAAGCAACTTGAAGCGCTGCAAGAATCTATTCAATCGAAAGAATGGGAAGGAAGGAAGGATTTTGTCATTACGAAAAAATGGGAGGGGGGGAGGGTGAACCTCGTTATTTCCTGCCCGTTAAAGCATTACGTAAGTTTACTTTGAATTAACAAACACACTGAAGCCTTTTGACATCTACACTTTGGTCGAATTATATCCCCTTTTTTTGTGAATGGCAAAACTTTATGAATGTAGCTTTGAAAAGCCGCCTTTAAAAACATGCTCACACTTCAGAGCAGATGCATTTGGTGTAGAAGCACAGAACTGCAGATTCTTCTTGCCTTTTATTTTTCTCATGTGCGTAAGTCTTCATCATGGGCAGCATCCGTATCAGTGGGATTTTTTTTTTTGTCGTGTCAGGAGCAACTTGAGAAACTGCAAGTCGCTTCTGGTGTGAGAGAATGGGATGTCTTCAAGGACGTTGCCCAGGGGATGCCTGGATCTTTTGATGTTTTACCCTCCTTGTGGGAGGCTTCTCTCATGACCCCGCATGGGGAGCTGGAGCTGACAGAAGGAGCTCATCTGCACTCTCCCCGGAGTCAAACCTGTCGATCTTCAGTTTAGCCAGGGGCTCCTCAACATTAGTAAACAAACATAACCAAGGAAGGAAGGAAAAAGGGAGGGAAAGGAAGGAAGAAAAGAAAGAAGGTAGGAAAAAGGAAATCTGCAAGGACGTTGCCCAGGGGACGCCCGCATGATTTGATGTTTTTAATCATCCTTGTGGGAGGCTTCTCCCATGTCCCTGCATGAGAAGCTGGAGCTGATAGAGGGAGCTCATCCACCTCTCCCTGGATTCGAACCTGCGACCTGTCGGTCTTCAGTCCTGCTGGCACAGGGGTTTAACCCACTGCGCCACCGGGGGCTCCTTATCCAAATCAGTGGGATGGCGAACCAACTTTGAGGTTTATTCCAAATTTTGAAAGCGTTACACAAGGCAAGAGCCTTTGCCATCCCCCAAAGTAGGTTTAGGAAGCACACTGGCTGCTTATTTCAAAGTAATGAACGGAATTTAGAGCAGGTTCACCACTATATCATCTGTATTTATGAGCTGGACATGTGT